AAATGCCGCGCGCCTGGTCTCGTTGAGGTTTTGTCATACACACGTGCCGGCACGCGCGCGCAGTTGACCTGAATATGTGCGCCAGGCCGTCATGGCGAGTGCTCTCAAGTGGGCTTCAACCGGACAGCGGCTGATCTGAATTATGCCGCGCAGTCGTCGTGGCATGGCCTTGCAAAGAGGAAAGAGGCCATCGTCAAAGTTGTGACGACATTTGACCGCTTGTCACGTGCCAGCGAGATGACCGAAATAAATCCCGAGTACGCGAGGTGCGCGAGGCCCGTGGCCAGTTAAACTAGGCCGCTAGAGCGAACTGAGTGACATGCCGATGCCAGACGGAGGGCATTTTAAATGTCAGCCAGAACTCAATCCACCACTGGCCCCCAGCATGCAGGCACCCATGCTGTTTCGCGGCAGCCGAGGGCACGATGTGAGGTGCATAATGCACTTGCTCTTGAAATGGAAAATTCGATAGAGTAGGCGCTAGGCGTCTACGAGTCAACCGCAAGTAGTAGAAACGTGATAACTCCCAGAATGTTCAGAGAATGTCGCCGGTATGTAGCGTAATAAAGCGCGACGGAGCGAACCGCCGGTACGCACCTGCTGACTTTAAGGAAGCATGCGCATGGAGTCATGGTTGAGGGAGACATAGGCAGTACAGGTCAGCACACGCATGGATCATGCAAAAGGGACACCTGCTGTAGAATATATTAGCATACACCACAAGGAGCATTTAATGGTGATTTGCACCCACATATACACAACGGTACACGATAAAATCTGAACCGAAAATGACAAAAAACGGGCTAAAGGTGCCGTGCTATGTTGCACTCGCCTTTTTAAGCTATCAAGATCGGAGGGTCGGTTAAGTTGTCAAGGTGTTTTATTTTGAAGTATTGCCGAACGGACCATATCGCTGCCAGTTCAGAAAAAATTGTTCAGCATAAAAATACACCGAGATGTTCCGTGAATGGTGGGATAATTAACGAAATTATACTCCAACCTGGTTCATCCTACACGTGTGTAGGATTACCGAGCCGGTATAAGCACTCCCCGTCCATCTGACAGTCCGATCGGCTCATGTTAGTTTACGTTTTGGGTTGAAAAGATAGAGAATGAAATATTCTATGGTGAGCATACGGTAGGCATTTGACGATAACTAATTTTTTTGTCTGTCTTTTTTGTTGTCAGGTTGTGATTCAAGACCACATGCCGGAGTTATTTCCATAACAACTTTTGCCTTTGGACTAATGCTGATGATGACGTTTTCATTCAGTTTTCTACCAGCATCATTTGTTACAACTGCGCGGCGTCTTACGGCTTGCTACCAGGTTTTCAAAACAGGCTTAACAAGTTGTCGCATTTTTGAGTTGCATAAATTGCAATGATGCGTTTTTCAAAGCCTCCCGTATAAAGGTTGCTGCTGCATAATGGAAACAATTGTGCCCACTTCTATACCTCATATGAATCAACACACCACTCAGTCTTTCGGGTAGTCGTCCAGTTGTATAAAATTGATAAAGACCTTATCCAGGCACAACAACGAGATATCCCCATTTGATAATCTTCGCATGCCTTTCCAAGGTCGGGCGGTGCGTGTTGTCCTCTGGCCTGGTTTGCTATCTCAGCACAGGAGGCTCATCACCTGCGGGTGCTTGACCCCTCCCTGTGGGCCACATTGAATCTGTCGGAGTACGTAAGGACGTGGTGACGTATGACATACAAAACCTTTTCATTTATCCATTTATTTCCGGGTTTTCAAGTTGTATGTCCTGCGGTGAATGAAGGAAGCGAAACGGCTATTCCTGGATCCGTGCCAGGCAGAAATGGAAGCTCGCAAATGGGAGAATAACACTAAACAACCCACCCATCCGCGCACACACACACACACACGCACACGCAAACGCACACGCACACACACCAAACGTGAAATCAACAAATATGTACAGATGAGCAATGATAACGTGTCACAATCGGCTCAAATATTATGAGCTGACGCAAACAGTGGTATAAGACAGCTTCACGTCGACCTTCAACACATTAAAACACGACTTAACTTTGACTTGTTCATGCCTCTAAATTCAGACGGCAGCACGTTATCAAGACCCTCGGAAAGACCCAGTTAAGACCTTGAAGGGAAGAGCTAGAAACTTGTGAATATTTTCAGTACATGGGCTCCCGCTCATTCCTTGCTGCAGACTTCCATATGGAGCAGGACGATGAAAAGCAACTTTTAAACTTGCGTTAGCTGAGTGATGATTTCACGACTAACCCGAAACGATACCGTTCATTTTTCAAATGTTATTCACAAACGATATGTCCGTTTGTTTCCTGCGACGATGCTAGTTATCACATGAGCTGTGCAGGGGGGCCTGCAACACCGTGGTGGACGACACTTTTCGGAAAGGAAAACATCCTGAAAGAACTACAAAATTACTTATGACCTGTGATGACCCGATTTTATAAAAACAACGAGAACAACAGCGATCTACCTCGGATATATATATATATTGTAGCCGTCTCAGATCACGAACCATCAATGCCAGAAGCTTCAAATATTCACAACATATGAATTCATACTAGAAACTCAGGCACCCCAAATTTCAGCCTCGTGTTCAAAGTGTGGTTAGAAGCTATTTCGGAAAAACTTCAACCGGGGAAGGCCTCTGGCCCCCCCCCCCCCCTCCCTCCCCGCATCTCGTAGGGCGAAGATTAAACCATCAGTCACGACGCTCAGGTCCCCGCGCCTCTCTTCTTCTTCCAAGTTCAGGGCAAGCTGACAGGGACTGAACACAATCGACATTTGCTGACGATTTTAAACAGTTCAAGATAATTTCGAGGATATTAGTGTCTTGAAAGACGTCCACGGAATACATGCATAGCGAATTCAAAGATGGCAACCTTGAAACTGAAGCAGCCCGCTACAATAGTAATGGATGACGTGCAACAATTAATGCATTACTGCGTTTAACATGCCATGTCAGCTTAACGGGCAGTTGTTTTACAAGATAGCAGGAGCCTTTGTCTAAAGGGCACAGGCAGATTTTATCTGAAGTTTCTTTAGCAAATCTTTGCAGCGTCCGTCTGGTAACTTTTTCCTTATGAGGAGGGGGCTGCAGGCATTGTCTGGGAAGTATCTTTCTGGTATGCGACAGTGGCCACTGTCGCACTGTGGCCGTGGCCCGACGGCCACGGGTAACTTCTAACTAGCCTGTGACGGGCGGTCGCCGCCTCTGTCAAATGGAAAGTGCCTGCCGGGTATCGGAAAATCCCGTCGGGATGGTGGCGGTATCCTCCGTCTGTCCGAGGTTGGTTTTTGGCTGAGAGCATTTGGTATGCTTGTCGTGTGAAGGGCTTCTGTCTAGCATAAGCATGACAGCAGCTCCCGTCCGACGGACAGCATCAGCTCCCGTCCGACGGACAGCATCAGCTTGCGGTTCAAGAGAAGTTTGGTTGGCAATGCTCGCTTGTGCTAAATTCATGCTTCCCAGAAAAGCGAGTGTCACGATAATATTCGTCACGTCGACTATGCCAATCACCAAGAGATTGTCGTGAAAGTTGTAACAACATTGTGCAGTTTGACATAAGCCAGCTGCTGAAATGAACTCGAGACGCATGGGCCCAGTAATGAGAACCAACACCCGGCACGCGAGTTTGCTGCGAGTGAATTCATTTGTATTTGCATTGGTAATTGTACACATAGTGAGGTAATTCTTCACAGTGTAGCTGTTCTGAGCCTCGTTTTAAAACAATACATGCAACGGTATTCTCAGTCAAGGAGCGAACCCTTCATGCCCTGAGTTGATCGCCCCTCGTGAGTTTTCACGATGCGTTACCTTTTACACGTTTGTTTCCTAAGCAGGTTAACCAGAAAGCGATGAGTGTCGTCGAATGGCGGGCAAGATGACCGACCATGGGCATTCTGAGATGACTGACCCTGGGCATTCTGAGGTGACAGACCACAGGCATGCTGAGATGGCTGACTACAGGCAATCTGAGATGACTGACTACAGGCATTCTGAGATGACTGACCACAGGCAATCTGAGATGACTGACCACAGGCATTCTGAGATGACTGACCACAGGCATTCTGAGATGACTGACTACGAGCATTCTGAGATGACTGACCACAGGCATTCTGAGATGACTGACCCTAGGCATTCTGAGATGGATGACCGCAGACACCTAGAGATGACTGACCACAGACATTCTGAGATGACTGACCCTAGGTATTCTGAGATAATCGACCACAGGCATTACGAGACGGCCGACCAAGCGGATGGGAGAGGAACATGATCGACCGCGAGCACAAAGTGCTCAGATGGTCGTCATATAGACACGTCACACCCTGTGGGCAGGTGGAGCTCCGGAAGTGGGTTTACCGCATCGCGTACAGCAAAATGGTGTTCACTGAGCAAATGCATCCTTTGATCTGTTTGTTTTACATTTCAGTACACTGCCTAGCAAGTCCAGTGCAAGTGACAAATGATAATGTTCTCGACCGCTTCCTCGTGTGAGCACTTCCACCCCTCCTTCAGCCGCCATTGCTCGCTGGAGCATGGGCCGGGGACTTTGGACGGATGCGGCTTGCGGGCAGCTGCCACGCTTTACAGGACTGAACGGTCCGAGCGCCGAAACCGCGACCTTATCGGCAGGAAGCGCGCCTCGGTAATGTCACGAGGACCAGTGACGCATCGGCCGCGGTCTCACAGATGGCCCTGAGGGGTCACCGCTGCTGCGAGGACCACAGGCACCAGCCGGGGACCACGTCGCGCACCAGCTTGAGTGCATCGAGGACATGGCGAGATCGAGCACGCGCACACACGCCACGCGCGCTGGACGACGCGCTGGCGGGACCTCCAGGTCAGACTGACCGGAGAACACACGTCCGGCGGTGGCTGCCCGCGCCCGACCGCTGGCCCACACCGGCTATCCGGCCCTGTCTGCGCCACTTCCTGCGCACCCGGTGCCGGGCGGCAGACGGCCACGGCACCGACCTCGGCTGTGGTGCGGGTACCCATCGGCTGCAGAGTCGTGCACTCAGGGCGACGCTGGAGCGGCCGACGGCTCCCGGAGCGGCCGGGACACCAACGGCTGCTGAAACTGACTAGCGCGCGGTGGAGGCGGCCACCCCAGTGATATGGAGCTCTGCAGGTGGTCAGGTGTCCTTCTGCTGCTCGCTGTAGCGCTGGTGGAACCAGTTGCTGACGGTAAGTACGGATTGTGAGGCATTGAAAAACGTAAATACAACAGTTTACTGTTATGAAGTGACCTCCTATCAAGCCCTTGCCAGTTCATGTAGGTTACCACCTGTTGCAGTCGGGGATATAACGTGCACTGCCACTTCCTCATCCAAGACTGTGAAGTAAACCGAGGAAAACAAGAATCAGCTTGTGGAGCTCACGGTACTCAGTTACTGCATGCATCTACGTACTGATGAGACAGTCCTGTTAGCCTTATTCCTAGCAGAGTAACCAGAACGAAGAAGATATAGATGTATTGATATTGCGGCTAGATGCCTTTATCGAAACGAATAGAGTAGGTGGTGCACTACTCATATGCGTTTCGATAAAGGCATGCTGCCGAAATCTAAATACATCTGTCCCCTCTTTGTCCTAATCATTCTACGAGGAATAAAGGTACAAGGAATTGTTTTATCCAAATGCATGACGTTCGTCACAAATTTACTTGACAACTTACGCATCTACTTACTGTGTGGCATGATTGACCGTCATCCTACATTCGTCGAGTGCACCGCCTTGCAAAAGTGTGGAGGAGTAAATACCATGCTGCTGATAAAACAGAGTCTCATCAACTTCGAGAGCGATGCGGTAGTTTATACCAATTTCAAGCTATACAAAATAGTGGGCTCACTGTATTAAAAGCTCGTTTAGGTAGTTAGGTGGCTATTGAAAACTTTCCACGCGATCTCCGAAAATATCTCTCAAACTGTTTCGCGGATAACGATTCTAACGTGCTTAGAACAGTCCGGAACTCTATGGCACTTGGCCAAAAAACTCTAATGATCTTTTGTAGTGAGGTGTTTTTGATTTGATCTCCTTCTCAAAAGTCTTGCGCGGCGAAGACCGAGAAAAATTTAACCTCATCGTTGCACTTTGGGATTGTAGTCGGATTGAATAGTCTTATCTCGCGACTCTGAACGTGCAAAGTAGCCATGTAGTTAACGTCATTGACGACCGTTGCCTTTGGAAATGTTATATCAAGTCAAGATGGCGCCATGTCCACTTTTGGAGTGCAGCGACTATCTGAGGTCAAGATGGCGTCATGTCCAGCTTTGGAGTGCAGCGGTCATTAGAGTTCAAGATAGCCGTCATGTCCAGTTTTGAAGTGCAAGCGACTATTTGACGTCAAGATGGCGTCATGTTCAGCTTTGAAGTGCAGCCTAAGGTGGTCCACAACAGGCTCTGTGATGATAAAGACAACTGACATTTGTCGATGGCGACATGATAAACACTCAGAGCCAAGGTCACGCCATGCTAGGTTTTTAGAAATCATCCAAAGCATCACTGATATAAATTACTGTGCACCCATATTCCCACGCATTGTAGATTTTGGTCATTCAAAGCCAAGATTCTGCTGGGCAACACAGTGACCTTGGATAGCTTACATCATCGCTCAGAAACAGTCGCGTACTTGAACTGAACCAGCCTTGCTCTTTAGCCACATACAAAGATACACAGAAATGTCAACAACAAAAAATCGATGTCGTTTTACCCGTTCGAACAGTCAAGCAGCAGGCGATATCATATAATTAGCAGCATACAAACCAAATATTACTTGTAGTGATTATTGGAACCGAATGTTGCTATAACACTATGCATGTCGAACCAGGTGAACACCTCTGTGTTACAATTGGTCATTCAACAATTTCCCTCACGCGATGTGGGATGAGAAGCTTTCTTATATATTATTGAAAAATCGGAGGCGAAGCGTTATGCATTTTAAATTTTTCTCCAAACCTACCGAAACGGTCGATCGAAAGCATCCCAATTTATTTTCTAAAAAGCCCTGCGAACCGCTTTGGGGCTAGCCTCGTGATCGTTGACTTTTCCCCCCTCCCCCATCAGCGAAATGCAGACACTATTGAGGTGCCAGCTCCTGTTCGATCACGTGTGCCGCAGGTCGGCCCGCCTGGAACATCCTCTGCGACCGTCCTGCAATAGTCGGCGGATGGGTGTGGCAGCGGGCCTCCCCGATGAAGAGCTCTGTCCAGTACAAGTGCCTCAAGGGACACCGCCGACTCGGCCCGCTGTTCAACACCTGCATCGGCGGCCGCTGGATCATGGCGCATCCCGTCTGTGTCAGTGAGTGTGTCACTGTGCATCCTGTCTGTGTCAGTGAGTGTGTCACTGTATATCCCGTCTGTGTCAGTGGGTGTGTCATTGTGCATCCCGTTTGTGTCAGTGAGTGTATCATCGTGTTTCCTGTCTGTGTCAGTGAGCGTGTCACTGTGCATCCCGTCTATGCCAGTGAGTGTGCCACAGTGCATCTTGTCTGTGACAGTGAGTGTGCTGGGTGCACGACTCTTTTATACCACCCAAGTCACTTCACGCTGGATCACAACGTACACAAGCAAGCTTGTCATGTCATGTCATGCTGCTTTGCGATAATCATTGCATTTTGTCACCCTTGATTCGGTCATGCTGCTTTACCTCTGTCCCACATCTTTGCCCACTGCATCAGCACCACACGTCTGACTCCCTTTCTCAGCCTGCCATCTCTCGCCCCGGTGCGCCTCCCTACACCGGGCACCTTGCCCTGACCTTCTGTGACCCAGCCTGACCGCTGCAGGGGCCGGCTGTCCGGCGCTGGCGGCCCCTCCCGGGGGCGTTGTCCGCCGACAGTGGCGGGGGGCCGTGGTCAGGTTCGGCTGTCGCCTGGGCCGCCGCCTGACAGGGTCTCCATTGCTCGTCTGCGACGGCACCCGCTGGAACGGCACGGCGCCGCTCTGCCGAGGCGAGAGGCGGCAGCGCGGCAGGAGGAAAGGTGAGGGCGCAGACCGCACTGGCGATAATGTGATGCGGCAGCGGATTGGGACGGCTTGTCACTGCCGGTGATATGTGTCAGGGGGAGAGGAACTGCTGATGTGAGAACCGGTGGTGAACCCACCTCTTCATCGGCACATCGGGTATTAGGCAAGTTCGAACGTTTCCTGTTTACAATACACACACACACACACACACACACACACACACACACACACACACACACACACACACACACACACACACACACACACACACACACACACACACACACACACACACACACACACACACACACACACACACACACACACACACACACACACACACACACACACACATCATTTTCCAGCATCTGTTCATGGTGCTAGTGGTGCATTTTGGTGACGGCCCTATGGCCACACCCCTAAGCGCCGGAATGTTTTGACGCCATTTCGTCCGACCGAGATGACCTGTGCTGGATTCCGCTTGGATGGAATAATTTTCGAATCAAAAATCAAAGTAAAAGCGGGTAGAGCATGGGGAGTGGATGAGGGTAGAAGAGATAGGTACTAGACAGGTAACTAAGTAAAGAAGGAACTTCACCATGTCCCGGTAAGCTCCCAACCTGGGTAACGAGATGGCGCATGCTCAGACGAATAGGTGCCCTTGCTCCTTTAAAGTGATCGCACTGATTTGTCTTCCTGAAGTGAAGTGTAGACTCATGCAGTTATTTCGGTTTGAAATCGATTAGAGCCCTGTTGAGACTGCGCCACTGCTAGTGAAATCCGATAGCTTAATTACCAGCATCGGGACGTAAGCATCGTTGAAAACTTGACAAAAAATGAGTCTTTCATCAAGGTCATTCTCAACACTACATCACGAGCCACTTGACTCCATCAGTTTAAAATAAACACGCATTCTACAAACCATAGGGCACCATCTCATTCAGGATGTTATTCTTCGCCGATGAAGAATCTCTAGAACAATGCTGTTACCGTTGGACTTTTACCGTCTTGATCTGCTCGTTTGGAGAGCCAAAGGGGTTTTATTGGAAGGCTTCAATCCCTTTTAAGGAAAGATTTGACACGCTATTAGCTCACTTTTGAAGCTGCCCCGCTGATATCTAAAAAAAATAAATAGGAAACGTAGAAAAACTAAATTCACAGGTTCGGCTTGCCAATGTATGAAATCATTTGTGTTCATATTTCAGGTTCCAAGGTCTTGAGTTTTGGGTCAAAAAAGGTAAAACAACGTCAACCTCCAGATTGGCATCCAAACTGCCCCCCTAGACCTCCTCATGCAACCATCTTGAACCTAGATTTCTTTTCTAAGAAAAAGGTCACCAGGCATTCATTTGAGGTCATTGCCGTATTTGATCTTTAGGAGGCCATGGCTGGCCAAAATCATAACAAATTATTTTGATGTTTGCAGTTGAATTGGAGTCAAGGGTTATGCCAGGCTGCATGCCTCTAAACAAACGTTGACCTGGGTTATTTTAGGTCAATAACCTACTCTGACCCCTACGAAGTCATTGGAAGATGTTTGTTAAGGTACATGCTATTGATAAATTCGAAATAAGCACTAGAAACTACCACTAACATCAAGTTCTCGAGCAATGAAGAAAGTAGTTAAGACCTCGGTCTGACCGTCATACCTGACCCTAGGTTAATGGAACTTGTTTTAGTCCTGAATTCAGCTATTTTGCCGCATAATAAAACACCTCAGAGATAGATGACTTCGTCTAACTTTTCGTTATCGCATCAGGATGATCGATTCCATAGAAATTGCCTCCGGTGACCGCCTCGAACCAAATTTAATCTGCTATAGGCCAGCGACCGGATAAGGTGCATCTGATTCGTTATATCAAAGATCCGCTATTTGATTTCCTACAGCTAAGTAGACTTAAGTGGCTACACGATGCCTTTCGGGAATTATTCTGTAAAATCTTGAGAGGGGATGGTCAAACTGGACCCCACCCGGATCCCTTATGTTTAAAGAGACGAGCGCCACAGGGAGACGAAATGCGAAAGCCCTTGAACGAAGGTGGAGTGAATCCGATGAAAGGGGTTGAGATCTATGGTAGACAGTTAGGTAACTTGAGTGAAGGGCTGGAAATTTATGAGTGCGGCATACACGTATTCTGTGCATGAATTTTAAGTACGGATACACACGCACTGCGACGAGGCATTGGCCGTGTGTGTCATCTCGGCAAAACACCTCGAATAATCGGATGATAGCTACTTTGGACGACGCGAGGGAGCGATAGAGTCGAGCATTGCTACTAACAGCCCACGTTACCGTTCAAATGGTGACTGTAGCTGCCAATGAAAAGTCCGCGTGCGGAAGTGTGAATGCACTGATTCGGGTGCTGCCGTTGACAGATCAGAACAGCATTGTATTACGAAAAGAAGCTCTCCAGAAGAAGTTTTCATTACATTGAGAAGCCAGCCAACCGAAGTAAATGTAACAGACTGAGCGGTGCTAACAATGTAGCTTTGAGAAGATATCTTGCTCATGTATACTTAAGTTGCCATTTGGCGACAAGTTGTGTGGATATGGGATTAACTGAGATGGACTGTTCTGGACATATTATTACTTTCCTGCAGCCAATCGCAGGGGATTTGAAAGTTGAGGAAAATGGCGAGGGAAGGAGGGCAGATGGGATTGGAAGATATTGAAATGAACTGATCTGGTTCCAAGGGAATTATTTAGATGAATGGCTGTTTTTATACATAGACCAACGCGAGCAAATTTTCCTTGCCAGGTATCACATTTTAAGTTGAGCATTGTGCGCCTATGCCCTGTGTCATATCGAAGCGTCTCTCTTACAAATAATAGCTTATGGTCAAAGTTCATCAAGCCACCAGTGTAGGTGTCCTTAGCAAGCCTTTTGACAGAAATTGGTGCTTTCGCAGGGGTGATCCCATGCTCACACAAAATACTTAGATCGCACATTTCAGCCCTTCGGTTATAAGTGCAATGACATTTCAGGAAAAATGTGACATCACATCAGGTTTCGGGTAGTTAGCTGACGTTAAATCGTAATGTTTGACCCATCTGCCACTGCTTGAGTAAGCAACTGTTCTGGTATTTGGTGACTGAAGAACAAACTTGAAACAAATTCATGCTCTGGGCTAATATTGGCCACAATAAATTGGAATATGTGCCCATGTAGTTCCCTGACCTGATCTGCTACGATTCAAGAAACAGCGCTGCTGCGTTTGGAATATGTGCCCATGTAGCTTCCTGACCTGATCTGCCTACGATTCAAGAAACAGCGCTGCTGTGTTTGAGGCCAGGTTTGAGAAGAGGTTACATTGAGGGGTTTTTATCTGCGATGGCACAGGTGCAGCTATGGGTCGGTCAGCGTTCAGATCGCTTGATGATTTGTGGACGGTACGTTCACACGGTACACCGTGCAGGAAGTCTCACGTATCCACCTGCTCTGGTCGCCGATGCCAGTCCTTACAAACACACGGAAGCGGGCCAGTCCATGGTTTGCGTGCGATAGCAGGTGAGAATCTGCACACACTGACCTGCGCTTTTGCCGATCTTATTGTCTGCTTTGTTCTCCATCTGCATGTGTTAGTGCCATGTCACAGCAACACTAGGTCCCGAAGTCCTGGAACTGTCTCCGACCTTCGGTTTCAGCTTTTCTAGCTATTTCACACACACATACATCTCCCCTCAGTCGATAGAGGGGATACAAAAGTGGTGATATTGCAACGTTGCAGAAATACACTGCGCAGTCAGGCAGCCTCCACTTAAGTACCTCGCAAATAGCGCAGCACAGCTTTTAAAGAGTTGCGCTACTTGCTTGCGAACATTTCGCGACCATGTGATCAGCTGTTGCAAAGATAAAGACCCACCGAAAGTGTTGCTGGCCTGGCCGGGCCTAACCCCGGAAACTACAACATTTTCAGTGGTTCGCAGGGCTCGCGCAGCCTGTGATCGCGCTCGTAATAACTGTTCTCGTTTTGAAGAGTGCATGTCGGCACAAATCGACATGCTGTGGTGACGAGTGGGACCGAAAGTTCATAATGCTAAGGATAGATGTCGCAGCCTTCCTCACGAATTAACGTGCTGCTCCTCTGCTAAAGCGCCGCGGTCATGAGGATTGCGTGTTTGATGATGGACACACATGCTGGCAATGCTTTACGCTTATGACACGTCCGGTCGAGCTAAATTATATACGTCATATTCGTGTACTCGGGCAGTATGTTTTCATTAATGCAAGTTTTGCTATATGCCAGGCAAATGTACGTTTCATTAGTTCTATGCGCGTTTAATCGATCGGTCGCATTAAATCTTGCATTGTTTTCGTTCAGTCATAAACGAGCTCGCCTATGCTCATTCTGCTTAGTTTAAACCAGCTTATGTTTCTAAGCAATTCGACCTCATCCTCAAAGCCATGCAGGTCAGCGGGATAGAAAACATTCGAACATTGCATTCCTGAAATGGATGCATCACACAACGACACAGAGTAAATACCACATGGCAGCTTTGAAATGGTCCACATTTCCCTCTCACCACTAGCCACGTCCCACCGCCACCGCAATTGTCACGTCGTTTGCAAGATACTGCGCAAAGCAGGAATAGCAAAACACTCAAAGAATCGTTGCCACTCAAGCGACATCATTTACTTTGAGAAATGCAAAATTTTACCTGAATTTAAGATACAAAATTGGGATAAGCTGTTGCAGCGCACACGGCAACGACAGGGTATCGGGACTCATAAACGATGTTGATAGCCTTCAGAGCCGATATGCCTCGTGCCAAGTTGTTAGTCCTGAACAGGCCAGATCATTATTTATTTATTTTTTTTTTAGAAAATTGGCTCCTTAAGTTTGTCTTGAGGTCCAATGGGGACACAGTTTTTTTTCGAAACCGTGCCATGAGACCAGTGCCAAAAGAACACTTCCTCACATTTTTTGCACGCGTTGGACATGGTTCCTTTTAAACGTTATTGAAAAGCTTAATTAGATGACTTAGTCGCCGGCAGGTCAGCCTTCTCCGTCG